TGATTTTTTTTTTTTTTTTTTTTTATTTTCCCAGGAAATCTGTTATCAGCATAAAAGATCAGAGTCGTGGCAGCAGCCCAAAGGAAATCCTTTTTCTTTCCCACGTCTGGATTGTGAGCAAAGTCAAAAATATCGTTTTCCTACCCCTCCTTTTACCTGGATTTCCTTGGAAAACAAAGGGAGCCTTCTGACTGCTTTTTCTTTTTTCTGTTTTTCTTTTCTCTCTTTTTCCTTTCTCTTTTCTTTTTTTGCTTGTTTTGATGACTGAAAAGTTGTTGCACGTGCAGTGGGCAGAGGGAAGGAGAGAGGAGAGATAGGTGGGAAGAAATCCCATCCAACCTCAGCCAGCACATCTGCTGAAAACAATCAGAACTGTAAAAATGCATTATTCCAGAGTGTCGAATTTGCGAGAAGATTGGGGTGGGGGTTGGGCGGAAGCAGAATCTCAAAATCAAGGTAGGGAGTTTGATTTTATTGTTCTGGAGGCTGAGGAAGTAAATTTGGTGGGTCTTAATTGGCTGCCTTCCTGGGATCTGTAGAAGATAAAATTGGTAAACTTCAGGGCATAGAGAAACTATGAAGCATAATGATGTTATGATACTTTTTGAAATTTGGTTGAGGCAGGACGCTGTGGCTCACACCTATAATCCCAGCACTTTGGGAGGCTGAGGTAGGTGGATCAGCTGAGGTCAGGAGTTTCAGACCAGCATGGCCAACATGGTGAATGAAACCCGGTCTCTACTAAAAATACAAAAATTAGCCCGGTATGGTTGTGCATGCCTGTAATCCCAGCTACTGGGGAGGCTGAGTCACGAGAGTCGCTTGAACCCGGCAGGTGGAGGTTGCAGTAAGCCGAGATCATGCCACTGCATTCCAGCCTGGGCAACAGACCTAGACTCTGTCCGCCTCCCCCCACCAAAAAAAAGAAAGAAAAGAAAAAGTAAATTTGGTTGTAGCTCTTCACTTGCTTATCTGAGCATAGCATTAGAATCTTTCCTCAAAAGGGTAAACAAAATGTTACAACATGGATGAATCTTAAAAATATCATGTTAAGTGAAAGAAGCCAGGAACAAAAGACCACATATCGTATAATTCCATTTATATGAAAGTTGAGGATAGGGAAATCTATAGAGACAGAAAGTAAATTCATGGTTTGCTAGGGACTGGGGGAGAGGGGAAATGGAAGTAATTGCTAATATGTATGCATTTTCCTATTGAAGTGATGAAAATATTCTGGAAATAGTGGTGATGATTGTACAAGTTGTGAATATACTAAAAACCACTGTGTTCTGCTTTTTAAATGGGTGGATCTTATGGTATGTTCATTATATCTCACTTTTAAAAGTTGAAAAAAAAAATCATATTGTCCAAATTCTTGTAGTAATCAATTTACATAGTTCAGCAACAATATAATTCAATGTGTATTATAAAACAGCACATCTAAACACTAGAGTTACAACTGGCACCTGTCCTCATTGAGCTTACAGTTTCAGAATGGGTAAAGGAAAACAAACAATACATTTTTTAAAAGAATAAATAATTACAGGAAAGAAGCAAGTATGATGAAATGCAACAGTAGTTTTGTGCAAGGAACTGCCATATTTGGAGCTATAGTTTAGGGTAGGAAATTCATCTGGCATAGTTATATAGTATGAATTGGAAAGAAAACAGCATGACATCTGTACTAGGCATTGTCTAGGTACATATAGATATGATAAATTAAATTCTCAGGTAAGTCTGACTCCATATCTCATAGTGGAATATCAGCTGCAAAATAATACTAGGTCAGCCAAGCTCAGTGGCTCCTGCCTACAGTGCTAGTGCTTTAGGGGGCCAAGATGGGAGAATCGCTTGAAGCCAGGCACTTAAGAACAACCTGGGCATCAAAGCAAGACTCTGTCACTATCAAAAAATTATAATAGTAAAAATTAACTGGGCGTTGTAGTACATGCCTGTAGTCCCAGCTACTTGGGAGGCTGAGGCAGGAAGACTGTGTGAGGCCGGGAATTTGAGGCGGTAGTGAGCTATGATCATGCCACTGCACTCCAGCCTGGGCAACAGAGTGAAGCCTTGTCTCAAAACAACAACAACAACAACAACAACAACAACAACAAAGCCTATCAGGAATTTTAGGAATGAATGAACAGAGGTTACCAAGATGGAAATGTTGGCTTACCAGTAACACAAGAAACACTACCTCAGTCACCATCCCATTCACGGTCAACCCTGATTAGTAGTCAGACATGGGCTTTTAGATATACAGACAAAGGCATAGTTTATTTCCCAAGTTTAGCCCAGGGATACAATCAAACACTGAAAATCAGTAGACTATGGAATGTCATGTGTGGTCATGTGATACAGGCTACTGAAACACTGAAAATGTCTTAATAATTTCTTGACGATTTGTCTTGGGTTTATCAAAAGCTGTTTGAGAATTTGGGACTGTTATTCCATTGTATCATTTCTGGTTATCCTTTTTTTTTTTTTTTGAGACAGAGTCTTGCTCTGTTGCTAGGCTGGAGTGCAGTGGCGCAGTCTCAGCTCACTGCAACCTCTGCCTCCCGGGTTCAAGTGATCCTTCCACCTCAGCCTCCCAAGTAGCTGGGACTACAGGTGCTTGCCACCACACCCAGCTAATTTTTGTATTTTTAGTAGAGACGGGGTTTCACTATGTTGGCCACAATCTCCTGACCTTGTGATCTGCCCACCTCAGCCTCCCAAAATGCTGGGATTATAGGAATGAGTCACCATGCCTGGCCTCTGGTTATTCTTTAAATAATTTTTTAGTGTTTACTTTTATTGCCCTAATAATCTGTAATGTCTTTGAAGTTTCAAGAGGTACACCCAACTGTAGTAAGCAGGACTTTGATGAAGATGTATGCTTGTGTTCATTTTTTATAATATATGAGGTTTTATATATGATTTTATATATGAGTATTACATATATGATATTATTATAAAGTCATGAAAAAATATATATGTAAAAGCCGTGCTTTATATCTGATGAGATTTGATGGCACATAGACTTGATTTGAAGTCTGCCGTTTCTACTTAACTAGCTGTGAGATCTTAGTTTCTCTTAGCTTCAGTTCTCCTTTTTATAAAATAGATTGATGTGAGCATAAGAGGAAATGTGTGTAAAGATGGTCAGTAAATGTGGATTCCTTTTTCCCTTCATCCATCTCATGTGTTCTAGGTCAGAGATTCAGAGCTGGAAACCTGGATGAGATTGGATATACCATGGCTCCTGAATTGTGTGCCAAGGATTGGGGCTGTTTGTGTGTGCTCTTTTCTGCAAGGAGAGTTAAGAGCTTTCATCAGATTCTCAAAGATGCCTTAAGAGACAAAATATTCAGAGCCACAGCTCTTGATTATATTAGTTATACTTCTCTTGGCTTTTGTTTCTGTTGTGTTTTTCTTGAGGCATATAGATAAGAAATGAGCATGATGCTTTAAGGTCAGAGGTTCAGCTTGGATTCTCAAAACAGAACCCAGTAATTCACAGTTTAAGTGTAGAATGTCATGTGTGTCATGTGATACAGCTTATAATTTCATGAAGAATCGCTTCAAGCCTGTTCCCAGTCCATCCTCAACTTAGGGAAGGAGGTACATTGTCAGTTTGGTCTAGAATGGCCTCTTATGAACTTACAACCTGATATCCCTTGGAGAGTCTTGGTTTATGCCTTTATCCCAATGAACTTACTAATTGTACCCCTCTTTCATTCCCAAAAAGGCCTAGTTTGAATAATAAATTATACGGTTACTCTGGATTTCTGGCCAAATTACATTTTTAAAAAACCTTACCTTTTAAAATGAACATTTTCCCAATTCTGATTTGCATCTGTTTTTCAAAGGATTCAGTGCTATATTGCCAGATATTTTTTCTTTCTTTCCTTATTTTTTTGAGATAAAGTCTCGCTTTGTCACCTAGACTGGAGTGCAATGAAATGATCTTGGCTCACTGCAACCTCTGCCGCCCAGGTTCAAGTGATTCTCCTGCCTCAGCCTCCCTAGTTGCTGGGATTACAGGCACCCACCATCACTCCTGGCTAATTTCTGTATTTTTAGTAGAGACAAGAATTTTGGGCCGGGTGCGGTGGCTCACGACTGTAATCCCAGCACTTTGGGAGGCTGAGG